TGTTAAAAAAATATGGCAATAGATTTCGGAGAAGTAAACAATTGTTTTAAACAATTATTCTAATACTAATAAAAATAGCTTAGCTGGGAATTGAACTCGCTCAATTTTTTTAAAATACAAGAATAGTGTACCAACACCCCACTTAGACTTTATCCCGGTTACCTTTACTCTTTTTTAAAACTACGGTTTTCTTTAAATTCCTAATTACAATACTTATCCCTTCATTTCATAATGTATGCTTGGTTTAGTACTAGATGAGTGAATTATGCCTCATTTTTAGTCGACTTCAAAAAAGAAAGAGTTCTAGATACAACTGTATTTTTGTATGTATGTCACGCGATATCTTCGTCAATTGTAACCCAATTTTAATGATTCTTTATTTACTTAAGGCTCATTTAATAGAAAGCTTCACCCTAAGGATGGATTTTAATGTAAATATTTAAAAGACATTATAGTCGTTACCATTAGCGTGTAATTTTTCTTAGTACATAAACGGTTTAAAAATTAAAGCTTTAATAAAATGTAAGGTCGACTTCAAAGAGCTAAAAAAGAAGAAATAATTTCCACTTAGCTACTGAAACAAAGCTTTAAAACTTATCTGATGAGTTGAGTCGTTACATTTTGTTAAAGGTAATTCCTTAAAGAACATATTTTAAATAAGCCTAATATAAAAATGTTTTCTTTTCAACTTTGGCTAAAAATTCAAAATTGATAGTATCTCTTATTTTATCAATTTTTTTTTCAAATTGTATATCTTTTTTAAGTTAAAAGACTATTAATAACCGTGCCGTTAAAACCTAAAAACCTTGTGACCTTGTCTTTTAGAAATATATAAAAAATATATAAGGGTTTTAGGCCAAGAAAATGTCCACCACGCTGCCACAATGCGTTTTGGCGGACTTCATATGTCTTCGAAATATTTTTATCTGATTTCTCAGGCATGCAGGTTTCCTCACAATGTTCTCCTTCACCGCCTTACTGTTGACGTGTTAAAGAACTAAGGTTGAATTTCGAACCATTTTTTCTAATGAACCACAAAATACTTATACCGAATCATACGTTTTTAATAATATGGACTCACTTCTAGGTAAGAGAATATTAAAACAAATTTTTGCACTCCATTTCACAATACAGTTATTTAAATTCAACGCTCCTTTCATCTTTTCGCAAATAGATTACAGCTATGTGCTACGAACCGTTATATAAACTTTTTTATATAATTAAACAATGTTCATCGAATGATTTATGTACAGTCAAGTGAGCCACGCTAGTTTTCTATCCTTTTCATTTAAATTACTAAGCAAAAAAAGTAGAAGCGATTTGTTTCGATTCTTTCATAATTTAAATTTGTAAAAATGACCAAATTATACTTTATAAATCAAACAAAGAGGTTGTCACTAAAATGCGTCACATTATGCCGAGTAACTTACGAAATTTGCCGAAATTAGGACTCTGGACTCCTACACGAAATAACTTTGTAAATAGTAAACAGTTGTAATACCGTAAAATTTAAAATTATCCACTAATTTTGAACCATTTAAAACTCGGCGAATAATTAATAAAGCGAAACGTCAAATATAAATTTAGCTACATTCAACAGCCTACTTAACGCTTCTTTCGTCGCATTAATGTCAGTCTGTTCATAGATGATATCAACTTCTTTAGACAGATCAAGTATTCGCTTCGCTTTCGTAGCTGCGGGGGCGTAAAATTGAGATAAATCTTTTCAAATAATTCCAGGCCTGACTTTACAGACGAATATGTCTAGCAAGCAGTCGAATATTTTATACAATTATGAACTTTCAAATATGTTATGGCTTAATGACAACAGCTGTTTTCTCTGATTAAATCTTATTTCCACAAATACATTATTCATAGGTACATTATTTTAATAAGTTTAAAAAAGATACACGAAGATTGTAAGAATATATCGTCTGTCGAATGCATCTAGAGACATACCTAAGTATTTCACTATACATTAGTGATAAATATTTTGTTGTCTGCCTCGTTGGTCTAGCGGTTTTAGTAGTGCGGCTGCTGATCATGAGGTCCTGTGTTCGAATCCCGGGTCGGGCCAAAAAAATCAATTATTGAGTTTTTCTGTCAAGAAATTCTGAGTAGCTGCCCGAAGTCAGGAAGTTGGTGGTGTCTAACCCCCGTGCCTCGGAAAGCTCGTAAAGCCGTTGTTCCTGCGCCTGATCTCTCTCCGGTCGTGTCGGTTTACCGTCCCATCGGATTATGAGAGTGAAGGAATAGAGAGTGCACCTGTGTTTGCGCATACACTTGGGCACTATAATCCTGTCCTGCGCCGATGTCTAGCCTCCGTTGAGGCAGGCCGCCGAAATACGGTCTGGAGGACATTATTATTATTAATATTTTTTTTTGGTTTACGGCACTCTTGGAGCTCAATCAGTTTTGGATTTTTTTATGTTACATCCACACCGGGTGACCAGACCGTACTTAGAGCTTCACCTTTCGTGATGCGTACAGCAAAGGAGTAGTATCATTTTTTTACAATCTGGGTGTTTTCAAAACAGGATATTTACGTGACTAGCGACTATGATAGACTTCTTTTGTTACAAAAAGATGATTTAACACTTACGGTTCCATTACTAGTGGGGAGTTGTAGTCGAATATTGGTAAAAATGGCAGTTTCAATAATGGTACGCAGTAATTTCCTTTATAAAATGTAATAAGTTTTTTATACTTACTTGAAAAGGTGTGCATTGTATAAGCTTTGACTAGTATCAACTTGAAGTCTACGTGGACCAACTGGAGTGCAACTTTCCCTTACAAATAATATAATATAGCATAACTCTACAGTGGAATGCGAGGATCCGAGCGCAACCGAGTGTGTAATGGTCGACATGCAGGGGCATTTTGGAACTGACCGGACACTCCTCCGCTCCGGGGTGAAATATGTATTTGACGTTCTTACGTGTTGCTTAGTAATTTTTCTATTATTTATATTCGAAGTCATGTAAATGTATGCTTTATTTATTTATGCTTCGTACTTTCAATATTTAATTGTTTTAATGATGCATGTATCTTCTGCTCCATCAACAGCCCGTCTAAGTTCACTGCTGGAACTTCCCAATCGTAGGAAGGAATATATATATATATATATATATATATATATATATATATATATATACCATGAATAAAGTTATACGTCTTTGTTATATTTATATATCACTTTCTATATAATATATAGGCCTGATTATATAATGGGCCTATATGATGAGCTGTAATGATGATGATGATGAATCTCTACATCTGCAATAGTTGGTACGTCCGTATTGTTTGTATTTGTGATTTTATTCGATTTAACTTTTATTATTTGTAATGGAATATAAAAAATTGACCGGTTATTTAATATCATACAAAAGCTGTGATTACTCATGGTTACAGCACACATAGTAATAAAAAGTTTTTTAATACTACGGTATAAGTTTAGTGAAAGACAACACTTGTGCAGCGTGCACACGTGGTATTGAAAGCCATAAATTTAAAATCTTCAATATGTTTTGAGGGAAACCGTAAGAACTTATCTACTTTATAACTCCAATACTCGCGTATTAAATTCTATACAAATAAAATACTTAGAAAATATAGAGCTGAATAAAATCCTTTTATATTCGTTAAAGTTTTTATCTGACGAATGAAAAATCAGTCCTTAGTAAAATAAGGAGATTACTATATTTTCTAATTAAAATATGTGTTTGTATATATATATATATATATATATATATATATATATATATATATATATATATATATATATATATATATATATATATATATATATTCTACACTAAATCGGAAAATTGTTAAAACTTCAGACATTTCATAAACACACCAATTATGCAAGATCAAATAAACTCTTTGACATAAAACATTTCATATAAAGTTAGTAGGTAAATTAATATCACATTCCTGTAATGTTATATTGTACTTAACAGTTAAAAAATATAAGTTTGATTTTCAAATTCTGCTCAAATGAGATCAAAATACTAAATATAAACATGGTCACGAGCGGAACAACGTATTTCTCAAAGAAATCCACCGTAAAATATAAAGAGCGAAAAATTGTATGGTGGACACAGGAATTTGACTGAGACACTTCTGCGATTTTGTTGCTGCGACGTTATAGCTCCTCTACACGATGGGCCAGCGCTGTCCCAGCGAGATGGTCATGCGATGGTTGAAACGCAACTATACGATGGCCACATTCAGTTATGACTTATGATCGAAACTTTTTCGAGATGGACGTGGATGAAATAGCCGCTGCGGCAATATACAACACGTACCGTTTTTTCTTAATGTGCACAAGAATAGAGTTATCAAAAATAAATAGCGTAGAAGAAGATGGTGGATGTTATCTATCCATCCCAATAGAACTAAATATATCCTAAGTCAATTGAGTTTTCTTTAAACACAAATAAACAAATAATTATAATTAATACTTAAATAAATAATTATTAATTAATTATTCAAAATAAATAAAAAACTAATTATGTATATATTCTGATTTTAGTAGCTCTATGAATAAAATTTTATAACTTCATTATGAGGCTACATATTCGACATTTTTAATTCGTTAATTACTCAACCGTCGAGCGCTTAAATCTGTGGAATGGGCCACGTGTAGATGCGTGCTGCCATAGCTGGCCCACTACCTTTGATGTGCGGCGGAAAAAACCGACACCGTCGCCATCTCCAAGACCATCGCACGTTCCATAAGCCATCTGACACAACTACACCCTCTACACGCTGGCACATCATAGTGGGCCATCGCGATGGCCCATCGTGTAGAGGGGCTATTATGTCTAAAACTATGCTCTTGTGCTGGACAGTTATAATATATTTATAGTAAAGTAGGTAAAGTAGCAGCCTATATTATATATTAGAGTGCGGAATCCGCGGGCCAATCGGCTCTTGGTTTCGTAATTATTTACATAACAGAATGTTGTGCACAAAGATAAAAGAAACCATTTGTCATGGTAAATTAGTTAGTACTGGAGTTCCTACTGGCTCTGTTTTTGGCCCTGTTGGCTATATCATGCGTGTAAATAGTATGGTAAACGTTGTAAAAAACTGCAGAACATACATGTATGCTGACGACACATGCATGATGTATGCTGACGGGGATATAAAGTTGATTGAGAACAAAATACAATCGGATTTTGATAACGTAATCAAATGGTCCCACGATAATGGAATAATTTTAAATATAGAGAAAACGAAATGAGCATGCATTCAATCGCCATACCTGCATAAACCATGTATACCTATAAATATCATAGGCCATTCGTATGATTGCTTGCATAGAAATAAACAATGCATTGGTTGTAAATCGATTGAGCTTATTGACAATTACAAATATCTAGGATTAACCATAGATACTAAGTTTAGTTGGAATTTCCATATAGAACGAGTATGTAATAAATTAAGATCGTTATTATGTAAGTTTGTACACCTTAAAAGTGTAGTTGATAAAACAACTTTACGCATTCTGTACTATGCTCTCGTGGATTCTGTAATTAATTATGGCTTTTCGGCCTATGGACGTACGTTCCGAACGTACATGGATAGGATACATAATCCACAACTAAGATTTATTAAACTGTTAGTTAATAAGCAAGCTAAAGAGAAAAGTAAGGATAACTATAATCTATTGTTTAAGAAATGCAATATTCTACCAGTACGAGAAAAAACAAAGTATTTATTAGCAATTGAAGGATACGAAAGTAAATTTTTTGTTAGGAAATCAATTTATGGTAATTTAAGAAAGAATACTCGTAAATTGTTTGAGGAACCAAGTGCGCAAAACTACTTTGGTGAAAGGACGCGTAGGTATTTAGTGCCAAGAATATTTAATGAAAACGTGCCACAAGAGGCCTGTCGGACAAAACAAATTTTTAAAAACAAATTCAAATGTTGGCTACTGAATGCCATCGACAACCTGTAGTATTAGTAGTAGTAATATTTAGTTTAGTATTAATTATTAATCTTAATTTTTTTTTAATATTTATTCATTATTAATTTAATTTAAGATATTCGTTTTCTGTCTTTTATAGCTTTGTTATCAATTTAGTGATAAGTGTACTTTACCTACTTAGTCTTTAGTTTTTAATTATTTTATAAGTTTATGAATATGTTTTGTTTTAAAATTTATTTTAGAGAAATATTAAAATGCAATTGTAAACCTTAATGAGTGCAGTTTCGCCAATAAACTGTATTCTCAGTTTGGCGAACTTAATGTTTTTTGAACCAATTGTATTTACTATGTTAATAAATAAATAAAAAAAATATATTATGTAACAGGCCTCCTCTCATTACTGAGAAGGTTTCTCCACGGTTCATAGATACTTTATAGTGTTTATTAAATAGCCGATGCCAAAGTCCGATATTTTTGCAGTTCGTGCCGCGTTCGGGCGGAAGAAAAATATTACTAAAATGAGTTAGACCAAAATATCACGTATCATTGATACGGGGAATTCCCGTGCATTCGACCGGAAAATAGCCGACATAAAGGTCCGACGTTCTGGTACTGACCGGGGGACGGAAGCGATAAAATATATACGGGGGCGTTTGCTACCCTTGCGTTGCAGGTGCTATAACATCTAGGGTATTTATAAATGAAATTCAATAAAGATATGTCTTTCTTCTCATCTTTCAGTCGTTATTTTACTTAAAATTTTTAATTAAAAAAATGTCCGGAATATTTTATGATCTCCGATAAATGCCTTTTAACCATAATCATACAGATTGAAAATAAAAGTATCTTTATTTATATAGGAGAGCAGGTAAAAACGTAAAAGGGTCTGTACGTGGTAGAGCCATGCTGCAGTTATATTAGAAGTGTAGTTGTAGCACGAATGGGTCGACTCGACCGGGGAAGGACCATGCTCTCACACAATACAAGCGTAAAATAGTAGCTTAATGCTGCTCTGTTTCATATGGTGAGTGTAGAGAACCGGAGACCTTTTTTACTGGAGGAATTTCATCTTAGTCCTCACGGGTGACAACGCATCTGCATTTGATTCGTAATTGAGGATAGATGTAGATGTCTATGGGCCACAGCAACCACTTACCATCAGGTAGACTGTGTGGTCTTTTGTCACCTGTCAAAAAGTGCCTCTTACTGTGATCGCCTTCCAAGCGTGGCGGTTACGGCATATCCTTGAAGGACAGGTCCATGTTTAGAAGTGGATTTTTTATATAATAATATATCCACTTTTCGTTCTTATTCACCATTTGTTTGAACCAATATAATTTTCTTAGTTTTTCTTATATTTGTTTAGTTTCTGAATACTAAATATCGCCTTCGCTTCTTTTCACCCTTAATACAATATATTTCTGTCTGTATTTCAGTGTGCAGTTTTGCACGAACTTCTTTCGTGATTTCTGCAGCCGTTGTTCGGAGACGCGTCAATAACTCGGCCCAAAAAATCCTTACCATCTCCCACATTTTAGAAATATTGAAAAATGTAATGCAATGCATTTTTTGTAAATAATATAAAATCTCATATAATTTGAAAATCAATAAACAATTTGAATACTTATCTCTATACTTGCCAATTACGTGTGTGCAGATTATCTCCATTGTTAGAACTTGCATATTTGTAAAGTTTGTTATATTCTAACCTGTTATTTAGTATAACAACTAATTTCAAGTTTGTGAGTTTTTTTACTATACTATACTAATTTTTGCGCAAAAATTTAAAAAGATAAAGCTTTCATCCCCAAAATGCCGCGCCATAAAATCTGCCTGCTCCCTGGGGCCATCCCCTCCCGTTTATTACGCCACTGCAGTCGGTGACCATTGAGTTATACAAAACGGTGATAATTATTTTTATCCAACTGCCTCAGAAGGAGGGTAATCTTTTTCGATTGTATATATATATATATATATATATATATATGTTTGTTTATGAGGCGTTTATTATGATATCGTATCGATTTCAATTCAGGTATTAAGATGTGTTGGTAACATTGATGATTAAAATAAAGAGATCCCTTTCAAAGTGAAACTCAGACGCATAATTAAAGTGGCCAACAAGATGGCGTAGGCGTCGGTGGCGACTGGTGCTACAAGCAATTAATCTCCATTTTCCGCACGTGCCAAATCGCGCTGCCATTACGAGCTTTGTTTTATGTCATTAAATAGACCCCACGAATTAATGCGCTGAAACGTTTACAAAAGCTGATAAAGAATACGGTAATAGCGGCATCGGAAGATAGCGCGCATCTTTTGTGTGCAAATGAGATATATGGCTGTGTAAATACTTAAAACAAAGAATCGGGAGTAAATAAAATGATACTACAATAAATAGTTATTATTCGCATCATAAGCAAAGACTTTTAAGCGGTGAAGGATTTTCCTGTAGTTGAATGAATGTTTTGTTCCCCTATTTTAATTTTGTCTTATCAGAGCCAAAATTCTATCACATTTACATTTTCATAACCTGTGTTAATTTAAATAAACACCCATAAGCGAGAGTTACAGACAGTAATATTGTTTTCAACGTTAAAGTATGAGCCAGCCATAAAACTTGTGCTGGATCACAACTTCGTTTATTAACTTAATAAAATGAGAAACGCTTAATTACAGGTGCGGACGTTATTCGTGAGCGGACTTCCTATGGACGCGAAGCCTCGGGAGCTGTATTTACTATTCCGAGCATACGAGGTGAGACAGTTTTGCAATATATATTTATTATTTTAACATTACTTAACTGTATACATTATGAACATATTTTGATACACCGTATATTCACACGTTATATATGAGCTTTTCGTCACGTAAAATTAATCTATTTCACGATGAAGGTTTCGCCTTGATTGTAGTGGTGACGTGAACCGACAGGCGCGTTTATGTGTGTAACTGCGATTCGTTCGATTCGCGATCGTGACTGAGCGATCCCGAGACCTACGCACATTAACGCAATGTGTATGTGCACGGCTAACAACAACCAAAGTCAAAACTTCTCCAGAATAACTATACACATAACATGATGCGAAATGCCCATAACTCAAGCTCTATAGCTACTTCAGAAAGCAATATTTTACTGAAATCGTTTTCTTGTGTATTTCATTTTTTAAAGAATAAGGGGTGATAAACGCCGCACATAGTCCACCTGATGGTAAATGGATCTTGTAGATATCTACATCTATTATCGAATAAGAATCAAAATTCAGATACGTTGTCACCCCTGACTAAGATGGCATACCTCGTTTCCAATTATAAAGAGTTTCCGGAGTTCTACACTCACCATACAAATCACAGCAGTGTGACGCTGCTATTTTGCGCTGGTATTCTGTAAAAGCGTTGTCCTTCCCATGTCGACCCGACCAATTTGTGCTACAGCCATAAAACTGCAGCATGTCTCTTTCATACATATTCTTAAATTCGTTTTACATATAATGAAATTCGTTTTACATACATACCAGACTGATAGAAAGAGTCAAACATATTATCTCGCGTCACGCGACTCAGAAGATAACGGATTGGATTATTGCGTCGTAAATATCAAATGTCATGCTTCGATACGTAATATTCGAATTGAATTGATTTTGTCTGACGATAAGGGGTATTACATTCGGTTCTTGGCTGGCACGGCTGGCACCAGTAGCATTAAGGCGATCGATGTTGAACGTGGGGTTAGTTTTAGTAAATCGCGTGTTTACTCTCGTACCTTGTACCGAACCGAACCATTTTAGTGAGTAAATTGCATTTCACTTCAATTGCTCTATGACGTGACGACATAAGGCAACAAAAGCAATTTGGTATTCGTAACGTGACTAATTTTTCTTTAACGAAAAAAATAAAAACATGTATTTGTGATATTATTTATCAATATAATCTAAATGGATTGTAATGTTTTCGTTTTAGAAAGTAGTGCAAAATGTTCATTTTCCTTTTGTTTGTTAAATGAACTTATGTTGATGAATCATGAGTTCATGCTTTTGTATCAAATATTAACTTATAGTATCTTCTTTCTTACTAAGGGGGCTTAGTGATCTTTGTTTCTGAATTTGTTTTATATATAAATATGCAATATATGTTATAGATAGTTTTTAATCTTAATAAGTTCGCATTTTACTATTGTGTAACAATTGTTATATTATTGTTGTGGGTATTTGTATTATTGTATACGTAGGTAGTTATGCAAAGGAATAATTGCAAACACAACAATTATGATGGCCAGTAAATATTTCTGATTTCTGAAATTTTGTAATGAAATATTGATTTTGATGAAACTAATAATCTGAATTATTTCAACAGGGTTATGAAGGCTCGCTTTTGAAGGTCACCAGTAAGAATGGAAAAACTGCTTCGGTAAGTTCCACTTATTAACTAATAATATAAATAAAATAGATTTATACCCGTCTGCAGTCTGTGAAATAATAAATAGTTAAGAATAAAATGTATGTAGTACTACCGTGTAGTATTTTAACTATTCTGTTGTATTATTATATTGTCCAATAGGACGGTAATCCGACACGGTCGAAAAGAGATCAAGTGTAAGACCAACGGCTTCTACATGATTTCTAAGGCATGGGTGAAACACCGCCAAATTTCCGACTGCGAGCTGCTACTGAATGTTTATTGACAGAGAAACCCAATAACTGATGTTGGCTAGACCCGGGACCACATGATGGTAGTGGTGCTTGTGACTATTAGACCAATGGCAGTCATATTTTTATTCTAATGAATATTATTCTTTTGTATTTTCATTTTATTTTGTGGTGTGACGTCTATTCCTCCTTTACTCTTCAATGCCCATAATCTCGTAGCACAATCGTAGTACACGCTACGAAAGCCAGTATAAACTCGTGGCTGTTCGTCCGCACTCGTCATATTGCGCGTCTAATTGAAATGATGTTGGTTTTGTTCCCAGTATGAAGGGTACGTGTGCAAATGAATTGCATGCGAGTTTGTGAAATGCGGATACTCGTAGTTGGTTTACTCAATTTACGCCGCCGCCGGTATTACCGAGTCTCCTACTAGGCATGTATTCGAGGACTTACGATACGTATATCAAAGGTAGTTTTATTAGTTGTTTTTATATTCATGGAATTAATAGTTTAATAAAGGTTTTATATGAATATACAAACTCTTTTCTAAACTACTTCATGGTTCGTTACTATAGAGATATGTACTACTTAGTGTTATAATGAATACATGATTGAAATTCAGTTTTGTGTGTGAGTAGACACAGTACATAATATACTATTGTATTTGAATTATGTACACAATACTTCATTAATTACTTTTGTACAATCAAACAGTTATTATATGTAAGTAAGGTTACTTATAAAATTATAATGTTCGAGCGCATAAACAAATCGAAAATAGAACCCTCCACAAAATCTTAAAAATTATTAATATTAATAAATCAAGATATTGTTGCTACAGGTTTTTGATGTATTTTTTTAAATTAATTACCCCTACACCAGGATTTTCTCGTGTAATCGTAGTGGCAGTTTACAAACATAAACTTTACAAGGAAAAACATCCAGACCCTGTATAACTATGTGCAGATCGTACAAAATTCTTGTTCCGTGTGGGATTCGAACCCGTAGGCATTGGTACCGCAACTCATCGTTAAGCCACTGCACCATGGAGCTTTCATATTTCACTAAATAATCTCCAACATATTGCTACCATACTTCACAGAAAAGCCTTCAAACTACCTTGACTGAAAATATACTAAATTATTCTTCTATTAGTATTACAAAGATTATTTTACTTATCATCCCATGGGTGTACCCATATGAGATGATGGTAAGAGGTGACAGGAGGAAACTGAACCAGGAGACGGATAGCAGCGTTTCCCTGATAACAGCCGTATAAATAAAAAAATGCGGTTTCCAACTCGTTTAGCAAACGTGGCAACTATGGCGTAAGACAATGTTTGAGGGAGGCCTATGTTTAACAGTGTCAGCCAGCATTTAAGAGTACCTTTTACCGACAAGCATGTATGCGTAGATAGATGAATGTGATAGAATTTATGGATGTGATAGAAACAAGAGAGGCGTGTCGGGATCGTGCCAAAGGGAATTCCGTAGTCTTTGCCTACCTATTTTAGTGAGGGACGTGAGAGTTTATGTACGCATTATTTATGATTTTGTAATACAAATAAAAATATTCAATCCTATTACTAATAATATATTTGTATTGTTGTATTAGATCGCTGTCTTAATGACTTTTTTTTGAGTAAAATTTCTTTAGAATTGTTGTAACTCGATAAAGCGATACTAAGAAGAGAAAAATTTATACAGCGAGCGAATGAGATAGAATGTATACTATAATACAGTGTTTCCTATTATTTCAGTCTCTTTGTGCGATGCTCTAAAGATGGTTAATATAACTTTTAACTGTTGAAATAAGCAGATTAAAAAATCATATCCAATCCATTTATATCCGTTCATACTGATTTATATTAAATTAGTCGTGTTTAGACTATCTAGCGTCTATTTTACACACCCACCTTGAAAGTCAATCAATTTTTTTGTACGATAAAATAACTTTACATATAGAGTTGAAGTAGATAGCGCAATGACAAAGAAATTTTACTCGAAAGTTTTTGAAGGTTTCCCTTCAATTATCTGATAAACTTTATTAATTGGATAAAAAAACATAAACAAATTTAAAAAGTTCAAGTTACCAATTGATCTCGGTATTTTTGATGTAATTTCATGGGTCATGTTTTATAAATTTGGATATAAATAAATATGTGCCTGTCTGTAATATTTAACTGGCTTCTATCGAGATCAATCGGTTATAATCATGCAATCAAGACATCAAGACATGAATAGTCGTATTAATATATATATATATATATATATATATATATATATATATATATATATATATATATATATATATATATATTTATTTTAGAATATCATATTTGTAAAAAAATTCCTGTCTTCTGTATTTCTCTCCGGACTAATCTGCGGAATGGCTGAATTGCGATAAAATTTTACGAGCAAATAAAAAGAAATGCTAGGATTGATGCAAAATCCCTCTAAATCCGAAAAACTTTGAGTATTTGGTGTGTAATCGAAAAATTTATAAAATACATGATTATTGTTGATTATTTTCAAAAACCTAAATGGCTTCATTAACTGATCCCATCCTGATGAAACCGAGGTGGGTGGCTAGTAAGAGTAAAATAAGAAGGAGGAAAGCTTTAGATCACAGTGTCAGAAACATGCTATTTTTGACCGTTACTAAAATGCTTATTGTGCTATCTTAATTTGTATCACAAACCTAACATTATAATTAAAAATTGTCTCTCACTACCCCTGAGATATGATAAGGTGGGTAATTGGATATTTGACATTCTAGTCAATTCAAATAAGTTTTTATGAGTTGTCAAAACAAACATTTCTATTGGTCAAGAAATGGTATCGCTCTTACCCACTATCCTAGGAGATGATTCCGAATTTCGGCATAGCAAACTAATGACGTATGAATGGTAAAGCTAAGTCCACGCGTCACGCCATTCGTACTACATACAAACATCCACATTATTATTGTTAAGCGATATTTATATAGTTTTCTCATCTTTTTGGGCTGCATAATAAATATATAAGTGAAAATTATAAATATACGTGAATGTATTAATAAAGTAAAGTAAATAAATAAAAACCAAATCACAAATGGAAGCCCTCGGCAGGTGATACCAAACGGCGAAGGTTTTGGAAAAAAAGTAAAAGAAACCGGAAAATAAATTGTTATTAATATTTCCCACTGAACTGAAAGTAAATAGGAGACATGTTTAAATGAGTAGTGACTGAAAGATAAGTTAAATAAGATAAAAGGACCAAATGTTCCAGGTCCTCCGTGCTGCTTGCTTTTGTGTTAACGAGCTATAAACTTTTTGCAGCCGGTGGGTTTTGTCACCTTCCACACTAGAGCTGGAGCCGAGGCTGCTAAGCAAGATCTTCAGGTTAGTATCAACATTCCATTTCACAAAGCTTCAGATAGGTTTAATTCAAATTTATATAATTAATATTAAATTCATTCGAATCAATTAGACCGTGAATAGGTTGTAGTTTATCGGGAATATAATCGTGTGCCCGTCGTAAGCATTAGTTATTATATACGTAGTCACACCTTTTAATTACGTTTGTAATTAAAATACAAACTTTTATACCAGCTACGGAAAAATTCAGGTATTCTAACTTCACTTGTAGACTAACAGTATATTATTATGTAAAGTTTCGGTTATGATATTTTTCATATTTATTAAACTTAATAAATTAATATTAAATAAATAATGCAATTAAATATATTTTAATTTTACCACCACTGTAATAGTAACTTATGAAAGGGTTATATTTAATTAAATTGATGTGTTATATTTCAAAATATATATATATATATATATATATATATATATATATATATATATATGTATATTAGAACGATAAAATATAACGCTATACGATATAAACAAATTCGAATCACGTAAGGCTTTATTAATGTATAAACAACAAATAACATAACTATATCAGCAGTGGATTTAAAAGCTTTAAACAATAAGTATCACTTAAAATAACATACGGAGTTAGTTTATAAAGATATAAGCTATTTGTAAATAATAAAACAAGTACAACGCACGGTGTTACTAAACCTCTTCTCATCACATGCCTCAACACAGCCAACAAGCACTTTATAGTTAATATTATTCTCATTGTAGTCTTTAAATAACATTTTCCTTATTGGAGTAACCGCATCGTAAGTTATGCTAAACCCATGCACATAGTGACCGGACGTCTCCCGGGCAACAAGTCGAAATCGATGAGTGGTCTACACCAAAGTGCAATCAACAATTTGACGGTGTAAATATGCAACTGCATGTCACTGTTTGACAGATTTTGGCGTCACACCCTGAGCACTGTGTTCCGTCACTTTAGCAGGCGCGGGCGTGCATAATATTAATTTATTTCGTCAGTTGCATATAACCTTCGATAAATATACTATTATTGATCGAAGTGTATAACCATAATTACGAATCGGTTCGATGAAAGGACTAAAGCACAAAACACTAGTATGGAGCCGACTCCAAACGCAGTCCTAGAGCTTCCCCAACATGCAAGTGTCACGGCCTTCCACGGTGGGAATGTACGTGTATCCCACTGTGGGTCACGCGGCAACCGACCCGTCCATCGTCATTATATCGGAGCGCCGCACCGCTCGCGGCTGTTCACAGCAGGGCGTCCGGTTCGACCCCGACATGCCGCAAACGATTCGGCTGGAGTTCGCTAAAAGCAACACGAAGGTCAGCAAGCCGAAGCCGGCAGTTGCCACAGCCGCGCCAGCTGCACACCCTGCATTGATGCACCCACTCACTGGACGTAAGTACCGCAGAACGCACACACCGCCCGCCACTCACTCGACTCTTCTCACATCCAAATCCCTCCCTCATAGAGTAACTTACACTCACCTCGATTTCCGTTGCGATTTGAATATTACAATTACAATTAATTACTTGTTCAAAAGAATTCATTTAGTCATGTGTCAATTTGGTGCGAGATGAAGTCGAATGAAGGCAAATTTGGGCAAGTATCTATAATCGCTTACACGTACCACGCAAAGCCTAGCTCCGTGAAGCTATTACCTAAATTTATCTATCGGGATCTATACCACTTCTGTAAACTTTATAGTTACATGTTTTCATGCTAATATGTTCACTTTTATAGTATTACTAAGTATGATATATAATAAAAGTATAATATGGGTATATACGATAACCAAGATAAAAGAACGATCACTCATTCAAATTAATTTCAATATGAAAACATGTTATAAATATACTGTAAATATAGTTTAAAAAGAAATGATGTGCAGAAATATACAGTTGTATCATGCAAAACCAAATATGTTTCATAAATATTTTTGTAGTTGGTACGCCAACTTGAAATCCTACTATGAACGACTCTTATTGATATTGACGATTCAAAATTTATAAATCCAAAAAATTATGAAAAATTAATGAGTTTGAGGATGTATTTTTTTACATATTATTAGAAATATTTTTAAAGTTCTTGCTAATAGTATATTTAAAACAAGACCTCAATTAAACAGGCGATTGCATTCTATGAATGCTTAGAAGGATGAAAACCTATGGAGAGATATTAATACTGTAATAACTATTGAATAGACTTAGCGAGCCCGTTCTTCCCGGGCGGTGGGGCTGAGTTGTGGCACCACCCGCTGGCGTACGGCGGAGAGCTTCCGGGCTTGTCCCATGGACTAGTGCATCCCGCCATCCACCCACAGATGGCGCCGGTGCGTTCCTACCTCTGACTAGCTGCTGCCGATAGGCCACACCACGTAAGTTTAAGTGTCCTTATTTTTCAATATTTATTATCACCGAAACTTTTTTGCTTATTTCCAGCCATTTGATCAATGTTCAAATCAGCAGATTGGAAATAATAAATGGAAATATCAACATATTGGGAGTAACCGTGTCGTAGCGGTGAAAGAATATCCACTAACCCGTATCAACCCGTGAGTATTGTAAGAGGCGACAGATTGAAACTGAAACAAGATATGGGCAGTATCATCTTCCTGACGAAGTAAAAAAGTAAAGTTACAGCCTATATACGTCCCGCTGCTGGGCACAAGCTTCCCCTCATTTCTGAGAAGGTTTTAGGAAATGTCCGCCGCGCAGCCCCAATGCATGTTGGTGAACTTCACATATCTTCGAAATATTTTTTTTTCTTATTCCTCAGACATGCAGGTTTCCTCACGATGTTTTCCTTCACCGCCGAGCACGTGATATATCAGCACTTAAAATTGCAATTAACAATTTCATTGGTGCCGGCGGGGATCGAACCTGGGTTACCCGCGTTCTGTTATATTTACAGCGAGCGTTTACATTCTGAGCTACCACGGCACCTTGTTACAACTTAAAATGTAATAACTTAAAATTATAAAAATCTGCAATTGCCAACCCTCCTACCAAATGTAGCAACCCTCCCTGTGAGGCAATCTATGGGGGAGTCTGTATGCTCAGCAGTGAACTTTTATAGATTGTAATGGATATTGGAAATAACAAAAAATCTTATATGTAATTCAAAGAGCTGACTTGACGTGATACAATATTTTGCTATATATTATGTACATATATAATACTTATAATACAGTATCCTTTTATATAAGAATTCTGAATACTAAATGTAATTATATATAAATTATATTATTCCTTTTAAAAATCAAAAGTTCACTGCTGCACATAAGCCCCGATTAGGCAGTATACCATAGCTTTTTATTGTTCAAGGTTGTTATCATAAAGATGCCCATCTCTTGATTTCGCCTCTTGGGACACCCACGGCAAGATATGATGAGGTAGTGGATGCTTATACGCTGATTTTACACACCTTTGAACATACAACATGTTATTTTATTTTTACGAGATCTACTATATTTTTATAGTTAAATAGCCTCAACAGTAGTAATTTGGAACAAAAACGAAGATGTTAACCATATGCACAAGTGTCCAAATCTTCGATGAATATACTAATACAAATACTTTAGTCATATTACGTACGTTATCCCCATAGACATTTTCAGTGACTTTTACGACGTTATTTGTTATCCATCTACCTTTACGTAGACCTTGTTGTTCAAAGACTTTTTTTATATAGAATAAGGGCGACAAACTAGTACACAGTCCACCTGATGGTAAGTGGATGCTGTGGCCCATAGACATCTACATCTATCCTCGATTACGAATCAAAAAGCAGATGCGTTGTCATCCGTGTGGACTGAGATGGAACGCCTCGTTTTAAGTAAAAAGGGTCTCCGGTTCCCTGCACTCACCATACGAAACACAGTAACGTTAAACTTCTATTTTACGCTGGTATTCTGTGAGAGCGTAGTTTTGTCCCCGATCGAGCCGACCTAATCGTTCTACAACCATAATATAGCTGCAGCGTGACTCTACCACGTATGAATGCTGTACGAGTGCGTTATTTAAATGGTTTTACTCTGTATAAATCAATGTAGCTGATTAGTAAACTGCACCACAGTTGCTTTCGTTAAGTTAATACCTGTACCTTGCAGACTAGATAGCATACGTTTGCCAAAGTAGCAGCTCTTATCTTGTAATAACTTCATTAACATTCACATCTGCTTTTCGGGGATGACTTTTGCAAGGATGTTTTAAGGATATAGCAGATTCTTTGTTATAGTAGTTAATGGTTCAAACATTTTATCAATTATTATTAATATTATTTGTTAATTATTTTTTTTAAATACGTTACCCCCACACTAGGATTTTCAAACATCCCAACCCAGAACAATTATTTGTATGCCATACAAATACTTGTTCTGTGCGGGATTCGAACCCGCGACCCCCAGCGCAGCCACTCATTGCTAAACCACTGCGCCCCTGATCCGTCAATATCAATCTACTGCTGAACATAAACCTCAATAAGAGAGGGAGTTTGGCATAATTGTTACACTTTGAATGTGGATGGGGCTACTCATGTCTCCGGTCTGGTGATTTTATATCTAGAATATAAACGTAGAATATTTGTTATACTTGTAGCGCCATCTATCCCATATAAGGAATTATCCATCTTATACCTTGTGGACTCTGATAATAACTCCGATAAGTGATCGCTTACGACACTCACATGATGCGACGGGGTGATAATTTTTCTAATCCGTCAGTATACGGGAGGTCTTATCGAAAACTGATGTAATGTTTTTATAGAATAACGGTGACAAACGAGCACACAGTCCACCTGATGAAAAGTGGATTCTGTGGCCCATAGACATCTACATCTATCCTCAGTTAAGAATCAAAATGGAGACGAATCTTCATTTTGATCACCCCTGAGGACTAAGATGGAATGCCTCGTTTCCAGTAAAAATGGTTCGGGAGGGAGTCTTCGGTTCTCTATAATCACCATACGAATCACAGCAGAGTTGAGCTGCTATTTCACGCTCGTATTCTAGTCCTTCTCCGGCCGAGCTGATCCAGTCGTGCTACATCTATAATATAGCTGCAGTGTGACTGTACCACGTGTGTAATGTGTTGTATATAGACCCCTCTGACGCTCGGTGCGTGCGTGCTGCCCGCGCCGGCGCTGGGGTCGCCGGGCGCGGCCGTGCCTCCCCCCGCGCACCCGACGCACCCCGGGCACCCCGCGCACGGCCACCCCGCCCACCCCGGCCACCCCGCGCATCCTGCGCCGCCCTGCTCTACGCTCTTTGTGGCCAACCTTGGCCAGTTCGTCTCCGAGCACGAACTCAAAGAGATCTTCAGCAGGTACGTGACGCTCGTTAACTGATCACCTGCGGTTGTGTTCAAGGCGAATCTTCGGGATCTTGTGGAGAAACAAGGATGAAGTTATTTTGTGTAAATATTAAGAGATAATAGTCATGACTCGAGTATATCACCATTACTAGTTCAAAAGCTGATGACAAATTTGGGGAAGGTATTTTAGGCAATTTCAAAATATTAAAAAACACAGTACTGTATTGTTATTGAATCTGGTTATTTTATTTTTTCCTCTTTACGTAAATAAAGCTAGTGGACCAGATTTTTTTATCAGCTATAGTTCTAACGGTTTGTGCACCTGAGTTCTATGCTGACATGCTTATTCCTTCTCTCATATAGGGCTGGAATAGTGTCAAAATCCTAAAAGTTGGCCAACGGCAGCCTGTTCCAAACAAAGGAAATGAATCTGGTTGAAACCAATCTCACCAGCCTGAAACACAGACTAGAATAGAATATAATATTTTTATTTAATATAGATTATATGTAATTCTAGAAATAAACCTCTGTCGTGGGAAGAACCGCAAAAAGCAAGAAATCCGCGCATAAGAGGAACTTTTTTTTTTCAAAGTAAATTATACATTAAGAGAGTAAAATATATTTTGTAAATAGTTGTACAACCGTATAAACTATTTACCAAATTTATTTTAAAAACAGCTTGGAAGCGACCAACACATTCCCAAGAGTTATTTATTATCAATTATGTATACATTTATATTATAGTAACATTTTTAATTATTTTTTTATAAAATAGGGTGACAAACGAACACACAGTCCACCTGATGGTAAGTGGTTGCTGTGGCCCATAGACATCGACATCTATCCTCGATTACGAATCAAAATGCGAATGCGTTGTCATCCATGAGGACTGAGATGTAATGCCTCGTTTTACAATTTTTTCGTTACACATTAAGCTACTATTTTACGCTGATATTCTGTGAGAGCGTGGTACTTCCCCGGTCGAACCGACCCATTGGTGCTCCAACTATATTACTAATATAACTGCAGCATGGCTCTACCACGTATTAAATATTAAATAAAATATAATTTCTATACCTATCTATGTAATGGAACTTTTTAATGTAATTTTCACCAATTTGTAGACGGCCAATTAACTTGAAAATTTGCACTCGTATCACATACAGTAATTTATTTTTTAACCTTGCTTTAATTTTAATATTATTAAAGTTTACATAAGTATTGACTTTTCTTTATTTCAATGGTACGAGGTACAAATACTTTCAGAAGAACATTAGATTCAAGTCCAATGGTCATTTCCAATCATTTAAACAAAGCGGTGTCGTTCGTTGGCCTTTCCAAATGTGACTCGCAGCGATGGTTTTTCAGTTTCAGCACTTTGTAGATGCGTCAGTTTGCATTGCACTTGAATAATTCAAGCCGGTTATTCTAGAGATACCGCTTTGATGGTGGATTTCAAATACTAGTACTAGTAAAGCTTACTCATATTCACAAATTTATTAAATATAAAGATACTTTTTTATTCTACGTAGATTATAAACAATACTTATTGAAAGTCACTTTTTTCATTTATCACTGGTTCGCAAAAACAAAAACCTCTGTCTTGGGAAGAACCAGCAAGAAACCCAGCGGGACTAATTTTTTTTCTTCAAATAATAGCTTACAATCATGTTTACAATTAACAACACAAGACAAATTAGAAATAGCTTGGTAGCGATCACCCTTCCCAGGGGTAATTATCATCCATAAATTCCTTAATATTATAATAAGCCTTTTTATACAAACTTAGTTTAATAAAATTTTTGAACTTTGTGTATGACAAATTTTGTATATTTTCTGGGATTATGGTGTAAAAGCGTATACATCGCTCGAAGAATGAATTACATACTCGGTGGAGTCGAGTAACTGGTACTATTAGCTTGTGTCTGTTCCTAGTATTTACAGAATGAATATCACTTTTTTTGCAAAACTACTTTTATAACTTTTTACCTTTAAAAATATTGCCAATACCTGGCAAAATTTTTAATCTCGTCTTAACACTTGAATAATAGTTTATGTTAAAACGTCTATGAAGTAATTTTTTCATTATTTCCCATGAAGGAATTAAATTTACAAAGCAGTTTCGCATGAGAATAAAAGGTAAATAAATACACTTTGTGTACTATGCTATAATGTAATCCTCTAATAGATCTTCTGCACTAAACAACCTAAAAACTAATACGGTGCAAGATATGTTACTCTCACATTTTTACCTAATACATAATGCTAAGAAATAGTCTGTCTTATTATAAATAGGGTTTATTGATAGTCTTGGGTTCCAACTATGATTTTAAAAAAAGTCTTTCTAAGTAGCCGCGGCGCTACTGTCTTCGAGAAATTGACAATTGATGTCAAACTCCATACTTTACAATTTACTTTGCATTTTTGTGCTGGATACCTTTCGTGAAACAGATTCTACTTTAAGTCTGAGACTAAGTTCAAACCACTATTTGTAATAAGGCCCAGTGAGTTAATTGTGTTTACTAGTACTCCGTACTTCAGAATCTGCTAAATGAAAAAAAAAGCATTTTAGTCGTTTCTACTTTCTATAATATTTAAACTGGGTAATAAAGAGCCCTTGTATATTTTCTGGAGCTATTACATTTTTATATGTTTCCTTAATGGTAACAACGTCTGCTTTCTTTCAGATAAACTTTAAGTTTGTTTGTCTTTTAAATTTTACAAGAATTAATAAATTATAAAAAAGTGAATTCTACAAATTTGTCATCAGCACTCCAACTGCACTGTTATGTGTAAAGTATATTGCGATAAGTTTTTCGCATTAATTCTTACATTTAAATTAATTGTTACAAACATTTTTGAATTTTAATGTTTCAAAACTGGTTTTATCATTGTTTCTACACTCACTGAACACAAAACAAATGAATACAAATATATATTTAATGTATACTGGTACTGTGTTATATGTTATAACATGCATGATTAAATTTTAACATTAACTTAAAATGCTACATAAGGTCATTATTTATAATGTGAAATAATTTACATTTCCTTATTAACTGGTTGCTCTAATTTATGATATTTATATATTTAATATAAATTCAAATTATAAGGCGTAAAATTACGTATTAATTAGAATAATTGGGTATAATATATAGATTTCGAGAATATCACGTAATAAAACAGGACCTTATGTACCTTCATGGTATTTAAATAATATTAATGTGACTGTATCTTCCACAGTGCATGTCGCACCGAATATCACAATATCGGCCATTTATGGGCGTGAATTTAAAATTTCATTTTCTTATTTTACACAAACTTATCCTCCTATCAATATCCTCGCAAAAATATAACGCGTCAGTCAAGTAATTGTTTATAGTTTGTGTGAGATCAATGGCCTGCACCCGTACCACTGTAAGCATGTCGGTCTATGATAATGAAACATCACACATCAGCACGGAAACACTAAAATCATCAATTGCACTTATATCTTATAATTAGAATGGTTAAGCATTAAAATTTTGCATCATACAAAAGACAATTGTAAAAACTAATAATGTTATTTGAGAGATATAGATTTATACTTGTAGTAATGCCATTTATCCTTTAACTGAAACCGGTTAAATATCACCGACTACATACAGATATTCTTTTTTTACCTCAAACATTGTATAAAATAATATCAACCAAATAAATGTTCCCATAACAAACGACACTGATGCACTGAGGTACGAGTGTGGGCAAAATCGAGTATGGTGGTAACAGTTGCCCTGGCTTCTCGCGTCTTCGGCTTCTGACGGGCAGCGGCGGGGGCGCGGGCAGCTCAGGGCCGGTGGCCTTCGTCGAGTTCGCAAGCGCGAGCGACGCGAGCGCCGCCCTGGCCCGCCTGCAGGGCGCGCTGCTCCTCAGCTCTGAGGGCGCCATTCACCTCGAATACGCGAGGCATAAGTTGGCACACAACGGCTGGATTCTCGCACATGAAGTATGCACGAGCACATTCAAACACGTTGACGCTATGCGAATTCTTTTCTCCGGGGATCCAATCAAAGTTATATTCGATAAGACTTCGTTCACATCCATTGTTAATTTCAATAATCGTGAATTCATCAGAAGTTTTATTTATTCAGAATCTGCTTAGCGTCAACTCCTATGAAGCTTTGGATTCCATAAATGTAATATGTTGAAAAGTTTTAAATCCGTTACAATATCTGTCTATGCTCGCTCATATGGTTTCCAAAGTACAATTGATGAAATCAAAATGTAACTGATAATATCACACCGCACCATGCACTTTAGTTTTTATATTCGCCTGCTTTCAGACAGTTTAAAGATATTTTAACAATAATTTTAGCTCTCAGCTTCTTTCACATTTCTCCTAATGACGTGATTCGTAACCCACAGGGAGCCAAAGGGGGAGAAGAGGGCGAACAGCATTAATTCGTTCGTGACTATCGGCACTTGACAACCAGCTAACTGAGGGACGCGCTATCTTGATCCTCTGAATCGCATCGGAACCGCAACAATAGGAGATGAAGCATACATAGCATACCCGAGTTGCTGCAACGTACGAACTTTGTACGGCTAATTTGGATCAAGACATTTTAAATCAACAACCCTAGCAATTAGATAATCAGTAGTCGATGCTATCATCTCCATTTTATTTTTGTTTTTAATTTTATTCGCGTCAGGGGTGTGATGTTTTATTGTTGATACCAATTTTAGCATAAACTTTTACTGTATTATTATTAACATTCCAGTTGAATTGTTTACCGTTCATGACGATTATATTATTTGGAATTATTTTATCCTTTAAATGTAATGTGTTTTAAAAACATAATATAACTATTCATTTTGTGTAAGATAAGATTTATTTACAACTAACTTATTGTGTGCGTAAAGTTTGTATATTAGTTTTTTCATGGCCGATGTATACATTTGAGAGGATTTGTTAAGAATATAGTGTAATCACGGAAACTAAAACATTTTAGGATATATTATCTCATTCGTATAAGCTAAAAACCAAAGGTGCCCTTCATAGAAAAATTACGTTTTGTTATATAATATTTCAAGTTGAATGATTTTTAATAAAGTTGTATGTAATAATTACGATACTTTTGTTTTAGTCGCGATAATGTTAGCATAAATAAATGAATTTTTCATGACTATTTCAAATTATATTTACCTAATGCTTTTCTTAGTCATTTTTATAATGTTCAATCACTCGTTAAAGCGCTGGCACTGTAGTGTTGGTCTTACGATTTTTTCTATATATAAATGGAAATATTGCAATAATAACAAATATTTTAGTATAACTTCGACGCGATAGGACGAGTGCGCCCCTTGGAGCCGCTTTCTGTAAAGTGCAATAAGTCAACATGTGCTCGGCCAGTACTCACATCGTATTTACGATCTGTCCTTTATTTCCCTCATTGGTCACTACTGCGCCAATACTTCTTGTGCCTTGAGAAATCTCTTTCCGGAGTACCGGAGTATAATTTAATTATTTCAGTTGGTGTCGATTTCGTTGTTGTATACGATGCGGTACGGTCGGGCCCGTTCTGTATTGTTGCGAGAATTTAGCCTTGGCCTTATGAGAGTTAAATAACTAAATGTAATCATTATATTAATAAATTAGTAAATAATATAGTACGGTGACATGCGCGCCAAGCTGAGTAGTGAAAACGGTTATTCTATTTGCATGCTTTGACGAGCTTTTTGGTAATAATCTAATTTAAATATTTAGTAGTTACTTTTATTATATAATCATTAGGTGAATAAATTTAACTAGATAAGGGTATTTATTGTAGAGAATCAGCATAGTTACATTAATATAATATAATGAAAGCTATTCGTACATAATAATAAATCGATGTAACGAGGTTAAATTTACTAAAGTGTTAGTATATAATGAAATGGAAGATTAATATATTTTTTATTTTAACTAGTTAACTATATATCGCATACAGTTCGAATACATGGTTACCTTTCTTTCTTACTGACGGAGTGACGTTGTAAGTACACAACACGCGAAGTAGCAATAAACCAAAAATAAAAACTTAACGTTTATATTATAGGTATTTAGTAACGTATTCTGCTGATGTAAACATGTAAAAAATATAATATGAAAAAATTTAAAAAAAAATCCCTACTTAGTCTATAATTATTGAATATTTGGATTATAATCTTGAGGCAACAGAAATCAATGAGTTATTCACAAAATCGTTGTCGTTTGAAAGACCAGTAACTCCGCATGTGAATTCTTATGAAATGTTTCTTAGTCAATATTTAATAGAAATATCGTCAATTTTTGACTTAGCAAAATTTTATACATCATTTATAGTGATGTTACTTTCACATTATACCGAATGTCATTGTGTATAGACCAAAGATAAACGATATACATTATATTACTAACCTCAGACCATACCAAACATGTAATCTAAGGTGCACGTTCCGTAAAAAGGATTTTTCAGAAACTTATTCGTTATTCGCTGTGTGTACGTAACTAAAAATTATAAATCCGTCGAGGCTAAAACCTATGCCACAACTCGTCGCATCTACGATAAATGTCTGGATTCAAACTATCGTTACCTTACAGCTGTGACTGCTAAAGTGCAATGTTTTGGAACAAAATTTCATCACTAGACCTTGGTTGTCTTTGTGAATCCCTTCGTCGATTTTAGATTAAGTCAATGTTTACTTATTTAATTCGATATAATGCTAATTCGTAAGTAATTGTGTAATAGTTGTAGTAGCGATCTCCCATACTTACGGCGAGCGGTGTCCCGAGTACTAATTGAAATTACAACGAAAACTTGCACTATGTATTTCTGAATATCTTTCTTCAAGCTATTGTAACAAAATCAAAGGGTGGTCTGGCATTAATCGTTCGGTACTAGCTTAATTTAAATATTAGAATTTTTTAACACAGCGAATGATCTGTTCATATTTATCGCGCGTGTCATTAAATCCATCTGTCAAATTCGCGCGATGTGTCGACGGGCGCCGCTGCCGCCATGATTCCGTCCAACGACCGTAGATAGCGAGTAAGAGACGTCCAGTGGCTGAGGACACGGCTGCGTCACCTATTGCGGGACTACTCGATACATATCATCGTAATATTAATGTGTAATTAGAGGTAAAGATCGGTTTCATAGAGACGTTTATTCTGTATCCTTGTCTACTACTTATAATGCAGTCGGCTATATGTCACGCTAATTTTGCTGTTTCAATTACTAAAAACCTTTTTCGCTCTGAAGCTGTATTATAATATGGTTCTTTGAACGTGATCTTCGCTTGGATTTCTCTGTGAATTTCTTTGCGATTTTCGTATAGATTTTCCGGTTGGTAAATTTCCGGTTGTATCTTGAAAGCATATGTTGTGCGTATTTTCGTAACGTTTACTGTGAAATCGAGTAGATTGTTTTGAGAGCGTCGTTGATGAGTAGAGACGCGTGACATTGGCCCGCATGTGATAGGCTAGTGTAGGGGTGTGTAGCATCGCCTTGCAATTTAGATTAAGTGAAGCGGTATCACACAAACACCGTGTATCGGAAACATATCAATTCTGTGCCCCTTAATAATTCTAGGTAAATACTAAAAATCTAGGACATACATGAATAGAATAAAGAAACAAAATAATCGTTCGGAGTATTTAATACCAGCTAAGTGTTGTTTTCATACGTTAAAAAAATAATATTAGCGATCATACTGTGTTTTCTATATTATGTCGATTACGGTGCGCCGTACTCTAGTAGTGTCGCGCCGCTTATGTTAACTTATCGCAATATTTTTCAAAAGGTTATTTTTATTGTTATTTCTAGACTAATTATTAATATGGCTTAATTACCAAATTAATTTTAGCTGTTCGCTTCGGATTCAGTATTAATGTTCTTGGGTTAATATTTTCGGTGACCAAATATGAAGAGTTGCTGAAAACTATTTGTATATCGAGCAAAGTAAACCATACAAGATATATAGTTAGTAATTAATTGTTAGATTTGTGTGACTTGGATTATTTAATGCTTTTAGAGCAAAGATAAAGTGTTATTGTGGTTTAAGAAAAAAAAACATAATGACCTTGTAAAAATAGTAATAAATTTAGCTTAATTATATAATTATTACAACTTTTATAGATGTTCATTAATTTTTTCATTTATTACTTCATGGAGTTTTGTGGCATTGGAGACGTCATTGTTAATTCAAATAAACTTGAGCTCATTCTCACTTGATTTTTATTCATTTTACAACCCTGCAATCAAGACTCCAAACACTTCTAACACCCATCGTTCCTGTACGATGTATAAATCTTGCGCTTATATCAACTTGCGCTTACATCAATTCTTAAATCTCTTGACGGAGCCTTATGCCTTGTTAAAAACAAATTTCTTTTGCATAAATGACATGTTTTGTGTATTGTCAATATTCTTGTAATAATAATAAAATTATTAGGACTAATTAATAGGTGTCTAGTTTAGGATTATTCATATTAGATTTAATGATTGAGAGTTGAGCTTTGACCTTTGCTTTGTAGACATTGCTTTTATACGTCCTCTTGTAAAGCTCGCAAAGCTGTGGTACGTAATTTTTGTATTTGTATCATTGTTAGTAAGGAATATATATAGTACAGAGATCACTTAGATGGAGGTTATCGGTGGAAGCGCTGTTGAAATCTCTGTTTTCAATAATGGTTTAATTAATCGCAGTGTTGTATTTATGTTATTATTAGTTTTAAAGCATTATAGGGTCCAAAGATTGGGAATAAATTTATGTGACAAATTTATTGCTTGTTTCCTTATATTCCGGCTACGACGATTTAATTATCGAATAAATAATATGAAATATCCCATTAGCCCTTTGTGATATTGCCTAAATAAACATGAATACATGAAATAATATGTTGCGATTAAATGCGTTACATACTGAAGTACTTGATCGTATATATACTACTTTTTAGACACCAGCAAGCAATTGAATATCTGTATCGCACTATTATACATTATATAATACAATTATGTATTTTTACTAACTTCAAAATTATTAAAGCTCCAGTGGTAATGTAGATAATAAAATATTTACATACAATAGGTACAGACCGTTATTTTCAAAGAAGAACAAAATTGGCGATAAAATATTTAATACTGCATCAATTCATAAAAAACACGCTTCTGTCACAAGAAGCATTTAAGAAAAATCCCACTCATATGATTTACACAACAATTACAGGAATCTGTTGCAGATAATGGATAAAATTTAAGATAAGTGTAAGTACCTGTAGGTGAACAATTAATAATATCTCTTTAGATTTTAAATTAACTTAAAACAAAATAATTTTTTATTTAAAACAGTGTCTACGAGAATTACAATATTATTAGTTGAGGAAAATTATTTAAAAAAAAGATGATTATTGTCAGTCCAAACATTCCACATGCTGGACA